TTAAGTGGATCAAGTATGGCGCTGCTTAACAGTCAAAAAGATGCAGCTGTACAATCTTGGTTGCAGAACATTTTTTAAACTGGAGATATATCTTCGAAATTTTTTAAAATCACTTTTTATTTTGCAAAGATAAAATTTACATTGGCATTTGAGCATTTTTTCCAGAGAGTCAAAACGCTCAAAACTTACATTATGACGTTTGTCATCCAAACCATCGGCTTCAAAAGTTTCACCAAGCTTCCATCCATGATAGAGCGTATTTTTCTTGGACGTAAGATTTTCGTAATTGTAACTGGAAAGATACCTGTGGTTTGACTTTTCTGCCTATTTTGTATTTATTGTCATATAGTTCTGCATGAGATTCTAACAATCTATATTTGATATATGAAAATTCTTACCCTCCTGCTGGGTTTTTAGCGATGACTTTGGTCACGCCGGCGAGCTGGATCATTTTGCGGAGTATCCAGTTTACTCCTGAAGAAATTGTTCAGGAATTTAGAAAAGCTCTATTATGAAACGTACCTTTAGCTGCTAAAAATTCGTCGAAATTCTCGCTCTTTTCCAAAGTGAATCTTCCAAAAAATTTATCCGGTATTGTAGCCATCTGAAGCGAAGTAGCGATGCATATTGCAAGAAAGAAGAGGAGCCGCATTGTTCAACAGGAGAGGTGAATGAGTGTTCAGTATGTGAGGAGTGGAATATATACGGATATCGGAACAGACATTCATATCAATCAAGTCGACCCTCACACCTGACACCTTGGATGCAAATCTCAAATGTTGCAGGAGGCAACGACTTTGATTTTGGGAACCAAATTGGTGGGTGTAACAAATCTGGTTTCGAAACAATGTTGCAGTGATGCTAATCTAGTAAAGATATGAGTACCACTGCAGAATTGGACTGCTCTGTCCTAGAAGATATCTAGTGTGACCTTTGTTATCACACCTTAATGACCCAGTTTTGTTTACCTGTCCTAGTAATCAACCATAATATAATACAGAGTAGTCCATTTGAAATCTGAAGCAAAGCCGATAATTTTGCGTTGAAAATTTTGGAGTATGAGCCGTTAATTGTGTCTGTATGTCAGAAGCATTCTAC